ACAGTACCACAAGATGCATGCATTCAGCCTGGGCAACTTTGTGACCCTGTCTCAAAAAAATAAAAAAATTAAGGGGCTGGTGGTGTGGTATCCCTGGAAATCTTTAGTACCACTAAATAAATAAAAAGATCCTCTCTCTTAGAAATATGAACAATTTCTTCCTGGCCCAAGTTTCTAGGTAATTCTGAAGACCAAAATAGAGAATTGGGTTAGGTCTTGACTGTCCAAGAATTATCATAATAAAATTTTAATAAACAAATAATATACCACTGCTTTCAGTTCCAAAAAATCTAAACTGATAACTGATATTCACAATACCTAACGTTTAAGGAAACAAAAAATAATTTTCTTTACATGGTTAAGCCTCTTAAACCAAGAATAAGTAGTAAAAAATATAAGATGTACCTCTATGGTTTAGGGACTTATTTTTTGTGTCAGAAGAAAATTTGCTAAAATCACCCTTAAACAAAATTTCCATCTACTAACATTGATAATCACCAACCTCCAAGAAATTGTGCTTTTTTAAGGGGTACATTTTATTTCTCTGCTTGTAACATGAATGTAGCAACCTATATTAATAGGCATATTTCATTGTGTATTCTTTTAAAACTTCCCTGAAAATAAATGCAAACATTAAAAGTACTATTACTATCAAATTGTGAAACATGATATATTCAGAAAGATGTAATGTTTTGAAAGACCAACAATAAAAAAAAAAGAAAAAAAAAAGTACTATTACTATTAAACCAAGTAGAATACCGAAGAGAATCAAATGTATATCAGGATAAGTAACCAAGTGATTTATATGATTTATTGTTGTGATGACAGCTGCTGAATTTTAGTGAAAAGCTTTTTATTACATATATCGTTTAATTCTAATGATGACCCTTCAAAGTACATAGTGTTGTTTATCAATATTATCTCCATTTAACACATAGGGAGATTATAGCTCAATAAATTTAACAGTTACATGACATAATTTTTATGGATGTAAAATCTCATGATTTAGGGTTTGGTGAGACTCTTTTAACGGAGACAGAAAACTCTGAATGCATACAAAATAAAATATTTAAATTACAAAAGACATCACAAAATATGAAGGAGAAATTGGGGAAAATACTTGCAATACTCACAACCCATAGAGGATTCATGTTTAATATGGATAGATAGATAGACAGACAGATAGACATGTTGAAACAAAGTTTGTGAAATAAAGTACTTTGCAAAATGGCAAAATGAATGGGCAATTATTAGGCAATTTAAACAAAATCAAATCCAAATAACCAATGAACAGATTTATAAAAAGACAATCTGAATAATATTTAGGCAAATGCAAAAATGAAAATGGAAAAAGTATGAGCTGTTATTTCTCATCTTTAAAAAATATACAACCTGAAATGTAAGGAAAATATAATCCCAAACATTGTGAATAGAGAGGTGAGACTATAGACCAGTAATATCTATTAAAATTAAAATTGTACAGACTCCTTGATTCTGAAATCCCAGAATATAAGGATATGTGTGGAGGCATTTCTGTTGCTTGCAACATTAAGAATAAAATTAATGACCTATTCATGTAAAATTATTTATGTATGTCTACATATGAACATACACTTAAAGAGGTATTTGAACTGCTGACCACCATAATATTAGAAGGATATTGTTTCTGTTTTGTTTCAAATGTTATAATTAACCTATATTAGTTACATACAAATTAGAATTGTTTTCCTTTTAGGAAGCAAATCAAATTAATTTTTTACTCATCCTTTTAGTCATCTATGTCAGATATTCTATGTTTCTGAAAGGAGGAATCAATAACTCAGCGTCTAGGGGCAGGATTAATTTTCTAGAAATCCTATATTGAGGCAGAAATCTAGTACTAACACCCTAACTCCTAAATTGCCCTTGATTAGGATATCCTACAGCTTGGCATATATAATTACACTTTAATTTACATATATAATGGAAATAGTAAGAGTTCTAATTTCACATTATGTTTTCCTTCATTGTTATCAAATCATTTTCATGCTTTTATAAAATATCTCATTAAGATTCATTATCTAAAATTAACCAAGCTGGATCAAACCTACCCAACTAAGACTCTGGTGCTCAGTGGACAACCACTGTAAGCAAGACTTGCAGAACTGTTTTGATAAGACTTAATTGTATTTGGAAGTGTTATCCTCCAGAGTTTGTTTTTACACTGAAACTGAAATGTCTTAAGGTAGGCAGGGGTAGGGGGTGAACTAAGTTTCTATGACTCTTCTGCCAACACAAAAGCTCTCTCATAGATGAGCTCGGCAGCATCTGGCATCTGTTTCATTAAGTTCTGCTAAATGCTCAGATGTTCTCATCACTCATTCTTTATGTTTATGTCAGCCCAAGTAATCATACTCAGTATTAATTTACAGAGAGGTAATTTTTCAAAAAGTTTTTGGTTGACTCTTGATAGCTATACTGTCTTTTAATGAGAAACCTGCATTAGTCTTTATTTTAAAGTGAGGTCCTAATAAAAATAAATGTATTTCTACATGCTCTTAGGAAATTGCATCTTTGTAAGAACTTTGAATTCCTGAAAAACTAGATCATGTGTCATTTTTCTCTGAAAACAACAGAAACATTTCCTGCATGTATAATTCTTATAGGTACTTAAAAGCTTTCAATATTGTCAAAACATAATACCAAAATATTTTAGCTGAACAGATTTCTGTTTCTATCAAAATAATTTAAAGGCATAGATTTTTAGAAGGTAACAACAGGTCTATGTTGGCTACCTATGTTTCTTCCTTGTCAGTCTTTGGGTTCCCAGTCTAACAGCATCCACATAAGCATTCTCAAATCTGTAA